TGATGGATTAAATATATTTCTCAGCCCACAAGAAGGTAAGAAAGAAATAGAAAAATTTTCCCAACCTATAAAAAAAGTTGTACAAAAATTTGCATGCCAACTCTGGTTTGAGGGTATGAAGAGGCTTTTAGCTCTTTAGAAAACAGCGAATTCTTTTTGGTTACTATTATGGTAACCTTTTCGCCTCTCTTACAAAACATAATCTCCACCTGATGGATTAAATATATTTCTCAGCCCACAAGAACACTTTAAAAATTGAATTTCAAAAATCTTATGGGAATAAACTTCAGGTCTAGGCATAAAAAAAAAGTCTTATCTATGAAAAACTGTTTCCTTTCTTACCATATACGTCTCCATCACAGAAGCCACAAACTCAAAAATCTGCAAATTGAAGTTATTGACTGTACTTCTCTTTAAAAAAGCATGCTAGAATTCATGACCTTCAAATTCATAACTTGAGAGAACAAGGACCCAAATGATATGAAGTGACTAAAAACTAATGTCAAAAATCAAATATTTTGAATAAAATTTCAAATAACTCTAATCAAAATAAAAGGTAATATGAAACAGGAAGATGATAGCCAAAATCATTGATTTTCAAAGATGAGGACAACTAAAAGCGAAGAAATTAGATAAAGATATCAGGCTCTCCCCAAGAATAAAAGTAGAGTGGCTTTGAATATTGAACAAAAACACAACAAGACTTATCATTAGGATTGAAGACACAGAGGCTTCTATTTCATGTAAGTTTAAGAATAAACTGACCTTTTAACACAAGGTCAGTTTCCTACCAGGAAAAAAAAACATGGAGAAAAATTCCCCTCAGAGTTTTTTTTCCCCAACTTGAAAGACCAAACAGCTAGAGAATGGGAAAGGGAAGAGACATCCAGCTTGCAAGGTCAAACTAGTTTTTTAAAAATTGTACACTGGTTTCCTTAGTTAGTGACAGCTAGTAACAACCAATCCTGTGCCTTAAGCTTTCTTCCTCCCACCCTCCTGCCTCAAAACATTCAAAAATAGGAAAGAACAAAGTCTCTTAAGTAAAAAGTATAGACTATGGTCAATATAATAATACGGCTGTGATTTATAAAGTTATTTCTTTAAAATCAACTCATTTTCTAGAAAGGAGTGGATTATGGACTATAAAAGAACTAGTCTCTTAGGGGCTAGGTTCCAGAAACTCCACACTTGCTAATAGAACATTGAAGGTTAAGAAAAGTAAAGTAAAGCACTCTACAGGCAAAGTGCCACATAAATATTTAATGTTAATAATACCCTTGCTTGTATTTGAGATCTATTTTGGATAGAACTAAAAAAACTGTCCTGTAACCACATAATCATTTTTTGTAACTAGCTTCATTTTATGTTTGTTTATACAGAGCTAATACAAGTTAATCTCATTCCTAAATCAGAAAATTTATCTTATGGTTATAGAAAACTTACTATTATAAGAATATCTGAAAAAAAGAAATGCACAAACTGCAAAAAATTACTCTTATTTTATTTTCATACACATGTCTATTTGTCTATAGCAGATTTTTACTGAAGGTTTGGAGGGAGAAGACAGCACAACAAATTAAAACTGAATGTTACATATTACTGAATTTAAAAATCTACTAGCTAGTCCCTATCATTATTCCAAAGTCTCCCAGCTGCATCCCCTTATTGCCTTCTTCTCAGGACTCTCAAGACCCTTTTCTTCTTCAACATTCCAAACCCATTTCCTTTATGGAAGAACATTCTAGCTCTCTACCCTTTATACTCTTCATATTTCAGCTTTGGTGATCTCCTTTATTAATCCATTCTGGCAAGCTTCACTTACTCTGTAATATTTGTATGTACTTCTTTGAAGAGCAATTAAATTTACCTGGGAAGCCTGTTAAATTTGTGCCTGACAAGAGCACATTTCCCACCACACTTCTCACAAGAATACTCAAGTTCTTCTGCCTATAAAAAGACAAGAGGAAAACATAAAGAAGCATGAAGTTGAATTGAATTGAATTGAATTGAATCAGCATTAAATGCAAATAATCTTTTCCAGTTTTATTAGTTTGGTGGAATGAACCAGTTTAAATTTTATATCTAGAACCATAAGCCTTATCAAATTAAGACCTAATCTTCAAAGTATACTTATAATATTATGCCCTGTTTCAGAATTCCTAATTTCCTTTTTTACCAAGGAAACACCTAAATTATGATAGTAACTGGACTCTAAAGTAGCAGATTCCCAATCTTTTCCCCATGGATACATGTGAACTGATGCCAGGAGTACATCCAGGCTTTAACATTTGGTCACAGCAGAGATAAGATCACCTTCAGGTTAGGTGGAGTTCCTGATCTGTTAGGTGTAACACTACCCCTTTCTTATAATGGAACTCAATCTTTTGGTGATAGCCCACTAGAACAACTGCTCTAAAAGGACCAGAGTTTAGGGTGGATGTCATTACCTGGAGAAACTGAAACAAGAAATCCTTAAAAAATGGGGGTCAAGATATATAGGACTATCTTCAAAGTCTATGATAATGGAAATAGTAAAAAAAAAAAAAAAAGACTAAAATAAAAAGAAAAGCAGAATATTTGTCTTCGGTGGAGCTGAATGTGTATCATTTAAAGAACAGACTTTTTTTTTTAATCTTAGGAAGACAACTCTGCCAATTATAAGGACTGCTACACCAGAGGTCTAATTATGTCCCCGAAACTTTCTCAGTATCTGTAACAGTATATCATGGACACAAATATTTATCTACAGCTTTGGATAAACATGATTCTTCCTTTCTAACAGGTATATACAACCTAAGGAAAAGCACAGAGTATTTTTTCATATCTCAGATCTTAGTATACCAACTTACATGGTATCTACAGTTTTAATTCCTATTACTAAATTTTAGTATATGTAACTTCAAATACTTTAAATTAATATTTGTTTACAAATAACAAACTGTTTCTAAGGTTCTCACACCTGCTATTGAGTAAAATAATTTAAGCAATCAGTTTTTCAATGAGTTACAATTAGATGTACCAAGCTTTTAAAAAATAAATATTATTTATAAATATTTCTCATCTGTTATCCCCACAAATAACTTTGTTGAAACTGTGCCTTGAAGAAACCAATTTCAAATACAATTATCTATGATACATAAAATTTAGGTATATGAAAATACCAAAGATATTACTTACCCTAAAGAAAAGATCAAGAGAATCTTGAATTGAACGAGGAGGTAGTGGTTTTTTCCTACGAGGAAGGTCGATAGAGAGGTCATTAAACTGTTCTCTTTTGGGAATAATCTCTCCACATCTGTAAGAATAAAAGGAGGCAGATGTAAGCATTTACAGAAATACAAAAGAAATACAAACATACTTGGGAAACACTGTTCTTCCATAGAACTTATGGTACCAACGTACTATGACTAGGCATAAGAACTATACATTTAAGACTTTTCTCATGCTTACTTTAACCCTTATTAATTTAATACAGAAAAACTCAACTGCAAGTACTTTCTAAGTACTTTCTTAAAATGCTAAATTTTTAAATTTTACATTTTCAAAAAACCTTAAACTTTAAAAAGTTAAAGTATAACGTACATTATAGAAAAGTGAATCAGTCACATTTGTACAGCTTGAGAAATTACCAGTTGACACACCCATGTAATCACCGCTCAAATCAAGAAATAGAACACCGTTAACTCCCTAGAAGCCCCCTCACATATCCCTTGCCAATTACTACCCTCATCCTTCTCCCAAAAGATAACTATGATTCTGATTTCCAACACTGTAGTTGAGTTTTGCCTGTTTTTGAACCTTATATAAATGGAATCACACGTTTTCTTTTAAATAATCTCTTTTTGTTCAACACGATTGTAAGATGCAACCATGCCTGCTGCACATGACTTCAGTGCATTTTCATTGTTGTCTCATATTAGTCTGTATGATTATTCCACAGTTTCCAGTTTTTGGCTATATGAACAATGCTGCATTGAAAATTCTGTGGTCCAGGCCGGGCGCGGTGGCTCACGCCTGTAATCCAAGCTCTCTGGGAGGCCGAGGCGGGCAGATTGTTTGAGCTCAGGAGTTCGAAACCAGCCTGAGCAAGAGCGAGACCCCGTCTCT